ATTGTCAAAGTTATATGCTGTCTCTAGGCGTTTATACAGGCATGGGCGTTTATAGGGAGTAGACGTTTCCACGAGGAAGTACGGTAAATGAATTGTTTCAATTAATTTAAAAGACCTAAAAACCAAATTTAATGTCAAAGATGATGCTAGTCGATTTTTAAAACTCTCAAATATTAAATGTAAACCAAAAGATGATAAAACCAAGTATGTTGTAAAAAATGACCATTGTTGTACTAGTCTGACTGTATCTATAAAGCTCTCAAGCATTAAATTAAAGACTGTTAATCCAAACAAATATGATGATGTCATCTTTACTTATGAATTAAGAGCCTCCCAACCCAGATATTGTGAGGAGACAAAGGGATTATGTTTATTACTCTGGTATGAAGAATTTCAAAGATTGTGGTGTGAGATTTTAAATCTCAAATTTATCACAGCTGATAGAATCTTACCTGGTTGTCCAACAACACCATTGTCAGATGAAAGAGTTTCTAATAGTACTCTTAATGTCGTTAGTGATGGGAACTGTTTATTTTATGCCCTTTCATATCATTACTGGGTCAATTTCTCAGCAATATGAATTACATAAAGCAATTATTAGTATTATGCCAAACTTTAAAGAAGAATTGTTTAATAGTACATTAAGTGCAACCAGATATTCAAGCATATATGATTACATAAATAATTCCGAAACATATGGAAATTATGTGTGGGCTAATGAGACAGAAATTATTACATTATCTGCAATACCGTAGGTCGGGATATATTCGCGGCTTCTTATTTTCGCGATTTTTTCCCGCATTCAGCAATTACCATGGTTACCAAATACAATTTGAATTGAAAAATCTGCCATGTTAATAGCAAAGGACTCTGTTACAAGTGTTCTTGGGCTGTTCTTCTTTCTGTTACAAATTTTTGGTCTCTTTGAAGCTGTTTCAACCAGAGCTACTCTCTTCACTCTGCCTGCCATGTCTTGGCCCATACTTGGGACTCTATACGCATTAATTGACTTGGGTGTGGTTAATTATCACCAGCAAGTGAGCGGCAAGGATTTCCAGCAAAGAGCTCGAAGGTAGTGGTCCATACAAGAAGACTGCAGATGGAGAACTGGATGGCTCCCACTAAATCTGCTGAAGAATATATAAATAGCTGCTGAACACTGTAATTGTATAAACACGTGGTCTTAGTGTCATAGCAACAATCGATTGGTTTCCATGGTATTTTATGGAACCTTTTTATTAGTTTTTATTATCGTGCAAATAAGCAGCCGCGAATATATCCCAACCTATGGTATTAGGTACAACCATATATTCATATTCACTTACTCCTACTTTTGTTGGCTGGGCTAGATATGGTACCCAGGAGTTATGTGGCATTCTTTGTGATACTAATACACCTGCTTTGCATTTGAAGCATGTTGGTACTATTCATTTCCAAGCAGTTAAATCTATTAATATTTCTTAAGCATTGATTGTTGATGGAAATGGGTATGGTGTATGGGAGGTCCATCATTTTAAAAACATTGGTTGTTTAATGTGACTTGTATTTCACTGCATGTGCTATGTGAGTGATGTGTGTGTCTGAAAACCACTGGTGCATATCCACCCAGTATTGCTCTGTATGAAGAGATCTAACTGCATTCAGGAAGTAAGATTAATCAAAGTATAACAAAATTTAATGACAGTAAATATTGATTACTTGTTACTATGATGGACAGGGAGAGGGTGTGAAAGAGGTTTACAGTTCTTTAGAGTTTAGCATTGATTCAAATTTGTGTGACTATCATTTATGTAGGACAGAGGTTTGGAAAGGTGGAAGCTGTCATTATCAACTCTGGATCTTGTTTGTGGCTTGTACTACATGTTTATTACAAATGACAGGTGGTTATGGATCAGGGCTCTGCTGAAAAATTTTGAAGTCCTGACAAGAAAAATTTTGAGTAACATTAAAATTTGTTATTATACATGTAGTATTATTCAAGCAGTGATTCTGTACATATAATAAATAATGATCATCATGCATGTTAATACTGCCATCGATGCTGTGTGCATTACATATATGTAAATGCTTGCCAGCTGATGTTGCTGCCATCAATGCTGTGCACATTATTAATTTGTTGCATATTTGAATGATGGTGCCATCAATGCTGTGCGCATATTAAATACTTGCCAGCTGATGTTGCTCATCTTTTATTGATGATTGTTGTAACAGTGCATGTTCTCATTAACAAAAAATATTGTTTGCACATTGGAAATTGTTCATGTACAATGTTATTTTATATTAAGCAGGTCATGAAAGTAGAGTAACTGAGGATAGCATTAGTAAGCAATATAATGACTAAAATACATGCATGCACATACATGTATGGTCCAATCAGAATGCTACCATTATCATTATTAGTTAGTATATCCCATTCATATTTATACAGGTACTTACTTGGCACAGGGACTACAATATTATGTTATAGAGTGAAGTCTGACTTGGAATGAGACTCAAAATTTGAAGGGACATTCCTTTATGTGAGCTGCTGCATCTTGTTAATGGTTTGTAATGTATGTTTGTGACAAACATAAGGTATACCGTGCAAATACATGGACATGTTTATCACTGTGTATTGTACATGTAGTGGATTATTGGTGCATTCTTGTAAGATAATCATGCATGAAATTATATTTTCATTTATAGTATGTCTAATGGAGTTAGAAGGAATCCAAAAGCTTAGATGTGTTTAGTGTGATCATTGTTTGTACTATTGTTATTAATAGGAAGTAAGTTCGCATTGCTTGCTTTTGAAGTGTTATTATATGCTTTAGAGCTAATGACAGCTGGAAAGGATTTAATAATTAAGCAATAATTGGATGGAATGTGCAATATAACATTAACATTAGTTGTTACATTATTATAGCCTTGGATTTATAGTTAGTATTAAAATTTAATGTTGGATGTGTAAACATCATAGTTTTGTAAATTATGAATGACGGTACTGTGCATGCTCATGTACGTAATCAGTTTGTCCATAATAATGATTATTAGGTAACAATCAATTTTTTAAAATCATTCAGTACGATAGTGTGTATTTTTTTCTAGAAATATTGAAAGAAACTAAAGGGAGTTAGCATTTCTGTCACTTGGCATTACTAATGTACTTTCATCCTGGCTTAACGCTGATGCATTTTAAATTGACAGTTTGATTATTTTTTAACATCTATTGTTATAATGAAGTACATATAGCTAATAAAAGTTATAGTTCTTTGTTACAGCCCTTCTGTGCCTCGGCCTGCGGCTGCTGCCCCTACCACCTCTCCTTGGTAGAACTGGTAGGGGCAGTGTCGCAGATGTACTTAATATTAGGTACAATGTAGTAAAGACTTACAATCTGTCTATTGACAGCCCTCAGCTGAGCTATTATTTGCAGCCTTTGCTGTTGAAGCAAAGGCAGTCCTGGAGCAGAATGGAGCACTGGTGCCATTCCAGGAGGGAGCACTGGCAGGCCTCCATCTAATGGATGTGGTGTGGCTCCAGCTATTGGGACTAGGATTGGCAGTGCTGTAGGTGGTGGTGGTAGTGGTGATGGTGGTGGTGGAGGTGGTGGAGGCCTTCCATCTCCAGCTGGTGGCGGAGGAGGATAAACTATATGCTCATCGCCAGCATCATGCATTATACAGTAGGCTACCAAAACAGAAGAAAATATATTGATAGCTAATTTAATTTGTAACTAAACTGACTTCAATACTTCTTTAAAAAAAAGTTATAGTAGTTGAGAGCAAACGGCAACTTAATCAGAATGTAAACTTAAATAGTTTCAGAACAGGAAATAGATCTTAGTAATGGTCAATAATGATGAATAATTATGAGCTAGGCTATGTATGTAATTAATAATTGAAAAATTCAAAATTAATTATATAAAACAATTTTTATAATGCGATAGGTCTTCTTATAGTTCTTACTTTAAAATTCCTTTCTCCCAGCAATGAACTGATAACTAAGGCAAAAATTGCAATTATTATTAATAAAAATTATTAATTAATTAATAATATTAATTATGAGTCAGGCTATTATTAATGTTTCAATAAATTCAAAAGAAATTTTAAAAAATTATAAATTAATCATTAATAATTTTATAGTTATTAATAAAAAGAACTATTAATTAATAAAATTGAAACAAGTACCGTAAATCCTTAAATAGAAGCCCCATTCAAATAAATGCCGGGGTAGCAATACAATTTAACTATAAATACGCAACACTAGCCCGGGAGTGACTCTGTAGTCTAGTGGATAATGCCTGAAGTTCCAGAAGTCAAAAGTATGAGATCAAGGGTTCGAATCCCACTCTGGGACTAAGTTTTTATATTTTTTATATATTTTTTCGAGGTCTAAATACCATTTTAGGACATAGACGCCCGGGCTTTTTTCAAGGAAATACGGTAATTAAAAAATATTTCTATGAAATTAGAAAAAATAGGGTTGTCAAAAAATAAAAGAAACTAGTGGGTTGAGTTGAACCATAACCCTCGACCCTCGTTCCCATTCCCTCCGTCATTCTCCTAGATCGTTGCATCACCTCAGGGGTGCCGTCACTGTGAAAATGGAAGATGGTGACCTGAGGGGAGCCATCCATCTGGCCTCTTTAGACGCTAATACTATCAGAACACACGGGGGATACTTTTCATGCCCTTCTGGATAGACACCCCCTTGTCCACATGATTACTCTCCATCCCTTCCACAGGTGAACCCAGGACAGTGAGAGTCGGAGTATCAGACGTTCTCCTAGCTATCCGTTCTTCTCCCTTGGTTCTTCAGGTGGTCCTGTTGGCCTTCACCCACAGAATTTGAAGGACATGTTGGCTTCATTCCCTCCAGACTCCCAATCATCCCCATTTCTCTCAGCTTTGGCTGCCTTCTCCCTCTCATTTTAGAGGGTCAGGTTCCTCCGACTGTTCGTTCAGACTTTTTTGGAGCTCACCTCCTTGCTTTAAAGAAATGTGGTGGTGGGGTAAGACCAATAGCAGTTGGTTGTGTTCTCAGGAGATTGGTGGCCTGTTTTAAGGGAATCCAAGGAAATGGCGGACCTGTTCTCTCCTTTTCAAGCGGAATTTGGGATGAAGGGTGGAATTGAGGCTGCTGTACATGCTGGCCGCTATTACCTTGACAACCTCCCTGTTGATGAAGCTATTGTCAAATTGGATTTTTGCAATGCTTTTAACTCCATCAGAAGAGACCGTATGCTGCAGGCAGTTCTGAATCTCTGCCCCTTTATTTTATCCTTAGTCTCTTCTGCCTATTCGGCTTCTCTCTTTTAGGAGGACCGAAAGCTGGACTCCTTTGAAGTTGTTCAGCCAGGTGACCTTCTTGGCCCTCTGCTCTTCTGTATCACTCACTATCAGTTTACCACCTCGCTAAAGTCCTCTTTACGCATTGCCTTCCTCAACGACATCACCCTAGGTGGGTCTGTCCCTTCTCTGTGCAGTGATATCTCCGCACTAAGGAAGGTGAATCAATTGGCCTTGTCTTGAATCCTCGTCAATCCGAGATCATTTCTGACTGTACAGGTAGTACTGCTTCCCTTCTTTCTGTCCTCCCGGGTGCAGTTGTGGTCCCCCAGGCCTCTGCCACATTGTTAGGGTCTCCCACTGGTGACCACTCTAGTATTGACTCTGCCACTAATGAAAAGATCTTGCTCTCAAGTTACTAGATGATCATCTTTGTCACTTTGATCTCCAGGACGCTTTGCTTTTTTTGCGCTATTCATTCTCTATTCCCCACCCTTCTACGCTTGTGTCCAGCCCTATTTTCGGACTGTTCTGTGCTCATCGTTAAACTCTGTTTTGAATGTTGCGTCATCCGCCACTTGGATCCAGGCCTCATTGCTGGTGAGATTGGGTGGTTTGGGGTTCCGTTTAGAGAAGCAGTTTGCACCCTCCTGCTTTCTCTACTTGGCTGCTGCTTCTGACTGTTTGGTTTGCCTCATCCTACCTGAATCAGTTCTCTCCCCCATGTCTCCATATTTTGAGAAGGCTTTGGCACTCTGGTCTAGTACATCTACATCACTCATCCCTCCCACTGATGGTAATGATCTGGTACAGAGAGAGTGGGACACTCCTCAGGTTGTAGCTTGTTTTGAGCTATTGCTATCTTCAAGCACTGACGAGATTGACCGCTCCAGTTTAATTGCTGGGTCTGCTAATGAGTCAGGGGCTTGGCTCCAATCTTTGCCCATATCATCCCTGGGCCTTCACCTTGATGATGTCTCCGTTTTGGCCTGTGTTGCCTTATGCCTAGGCCTTTCTGCCTGTGCTTCCCACTCATGTCGTCACTGTGGGGCCCCCGTTTGCAGTTTGGGACATCATGGTCTCCTGTGTAAGAAAGGAGGTATGTGGTTTCATCGTCATTCTGCCATCAATGACGTCCTCCAATGGTCACTCTTCTTCTGGTATCCCAGCCTGTTTGGAGCCATCAGGTTTTTCTAGGTCTGATGGGAAACAGGCTGATAATCTCACTCTCATACCCTGGAAACTTTGGAAGCCTTTGGTCTGGAATGCTACAGTTCCAGATTCTCTCACTCAATCCCACAGGCCTACAGCTTTATGTGGTACTGGTGCAGTCTCTGCGTCAAAGAAGTCTGCTAAGTATGCTGCCCTCACATCATTCATCTTTACTGCAGTAGCAATTGTGTCTCTCAGTGCTATGGGCCCTCAGTCATTATCATTTATCACATCTTTGGGCCACCGTAATCAGCGTTATTCTGGGGATGATAACGCTTGCCCAATACCTGGTCCAGCGCCTCTCTGTCACTCTCCAGCAGAGAAATGCAGCCCTAATGATGGACACCCTACCATCTTCATCTTTTAAACTTTTATTAATTTGGTTTTTGTTTTTGTTCTTACTGTTGTTGTTATTTTTGTAGTTATTATTGTTATCATTATTATTGTTGTTATTATTAATGTTATTGTTGTTATTATTAT